TGTGTGACATCTCATGTGAGTCTTCAGATTTCCGCTTGCAGTGAAATATTTACCACACTCCGAGCAGCTGAAAGGTTTCTCCCCTGTGTGACATCTCATGTGAGTCTTTAGACTTCCACTTGCAGTGAAACATTTACCACACTGTGAGCAGCTGAAAGGTTTCTCCCCTGTGTGACACCTCATATGTAGCTTCAGTTGTTCGTTTTGAGCGAAAGAGTTACCACACTCCGAGCAGCTGAAAGGTTTCTCCCCTGTGTGACATCTCATGTGTGTCTTCAGATGTCCACTTAGAGTGAAACATTTACCACACTGTAAACAGCTGAAAGGTTTCTCCCCTGTGTGATATTGCATGTGTTTCTTCATATTTGATTTTTGAGTGAAATATTTACCACACTCCGAGCAGCTGAAAGGTTTCTCCCCTGTGTGACATCTCATGTGAGTCTTTAGACTTCCACTTGCAGTGAAACAGTTACCACACTCTGTGCAGCTGAAAGGTTTCTCTGATGCGTGGCTCATCATGTGTCTCTTCAGCTTTTTAATGCAACGACATGTTTTCTTACATTCAGAACAGATCAAATGTTTCTCACTTGTTCTACATCTTGACTCACTGACGGAACCGTTATCATTATTAGGAGAGTTTAAACCTGCCTGAGGTTGTCTGGTCTCATTCCAATCATCAATGTCGTCAGTATCTGGTCCAGATGAGTCTCCAGTTTCGTCGTCAGTATCTGGTTCTGGAGGACCATCTGGACCCGGGTTCCTGTCTGGTTCTGGTCCTCCACAGTCCTCTGCATCACCTTCTGTCTCCATCTGTTCAGTTTGTATCTGATGAAGCTGTGAGGACTGAGCTTTCTCTTCATTATCTTCATTTTTCACAAGAGTGAATGAGACCTTCATGTCAGCCTCGTCCAGCCCTTGAAGCAGCTCTTTTCTGATAAGGGGGGACTCTGGGTCATCCTGGTCTAGACTAGAGCTCCCCTCCTGCTGCTCCTCTTTAACCACGAACATCTGCAGGAGGTCTGTGGAGAATAATGACGTATATAATAATAATAATAATGTAGACGGCTACAAACGCAGAGAATGCCTGGGGTCGTCGGACAAAGCATCTGCTAGTCAGTGGTTAACCGGCTGCAGCGTGGCAGGTGATTATACTTTGCAAACAGTCCACCACGTCCTGTATCCTTTGTGGGCCACTAGATATCATGCATCAACATGCTCTATAACAGGTGTAGACAAAAGCGTGTTACTCTAGTGTTGTGCTAAATAAGAAAAGATAAGCACCACCGAGAGGTCCCCGTGTTGAAATGTGCTGTACAGCAAAACGTGCCGTCCCTTTACAACGTTCACTTCACGTATGATAATGGTAGAATAATACATGCAGCATACCTGTGAATCCTGAGTCTGCAAATCAAGCGCACTAAATCCGACACTGCTGATGGACTTTAACTCGTAGGCCGTAGTGAGAGACATGTGCAGACGCTTTAAAGTAATAATCACTTTCTGATGTCAGTGAGGAGAGCGAGAGAGAACCAACCTGCTCTGTGAACGCGGACTTCTGGGTTGAAAACAGCGCGCAGACGTTTCTTTAGTCCCTCGTTGTCCTCTTTTAATCTAGAAGCTTCCTCCTCGTACTCTGCTATCGTTCTTTCAAACAGCCCAAATGTCTCTTCGGCGTCCTCGGTGATTCGCTGCTTCAGTAAACATCTCAGCATTTGGACGTTGGACATCTTCACTGAATCTCAGACACGTGTCCTCCAGATAAACACCGTTGGTTCTTCGTTAAACTCGGACTAGCACCGTGCTGCTAACTTCCAGCTAGCGTGCTAAGCTAACCTCTATAGCTTGATGTTGAGTCAGAGGAAAAAGATCCAGAAAAAAAGATGAGCAGCTGAGTCCATCAGAGGTTCATCCGGACGTGCAGAGATTCTGGTGGATCCGGATCCGGACTGATGGAGACAACTGATACTTGATCAACACGACGGAGACACGCTGCTGATGCTGCGGCCGATCGGCGCCATCTTGCTCTGAGATCGACATCCGGGTCCTTCTTCTTCTTCTGTCTTTTATTGGCGGTTGGAGAGCAGCGTCCTGCTGCGCATTAGCGCCACCTTCTTAAAAGGAGTGTGGACTGAAATGACGGTGCTACTGTTTCTGTATGTTTTATGTATCAGTGTTGTCTTTGCTTGTTATTTAAATAAGCCCCTATAATGTATATGTTGTGAATGAAGTTGTGTGAGTTCAAACCTAACCTTTACTTTCTCTAGACGTCTCTGAGTCTTTCCCTGTAATGATTGTGTTGTGGACAATGGATGATGACGTGTTCTATTGTTTCCTGTTCACTGCAGGTACCTGTCGGGTGTTTCCTCAGTGTTCTTTGTGTGTTTCTCAGACCTGTGTGTCTAAACCTCATTGTAGTGATGACGTCCTCCTCTTTTTCCCTTCTGCTAGTTTCTCTCATTTCTCCAACTTTCTTTCGGATTTAATTATACTTCCATTCCTTCATCTGTCCTTCTCTCTACTTCTTTTTGAAAGAAGAACAAACCAACGTGATCACAATTGGAAGCAGTAATGGTAAAATATGTTAGAACACAAAGGCTGGAACAAAGGAACTGTCTGTTACCTCATCTGAACCTCAGCGTTTTGACTGCTCGGAGACGCCATCTCCACAGAGCACTGTAATACGTGCTGGTGCATTTGACCTCCTGTTTCTAAGCAATAAATGGACTTTTACAACTTTGATCATTCATCAAGACTCTGTTTTTATCAGACAAACATTGAAACAAATCATTCTCTTCTCCCGAACTAGTAACAGAAATATTCAACAACAAAGCCCAGTTGAGGACATCTGGAAAAATCCAGCCAAACGACTTCTCTCGTTCTGGTGGATTCATCTGTCAGATCACAGGTCAAGTATCAGCGCTGCGTTTGCAGTTCTGTCGGCCTGCAGGCCAGAAGAACAACCGACTAACAGCAGGAAGAACATTACGGTTTGTACTTGTTGTTACACTTTGTACTTGTTGTTGCACTTTGTACTTGTTGTTGCACTTTGTACTTGTTGTTACACTTTGTACTTGTTGTTACACTTTGTACTTGTTGTTACACTTTGTACTTGTTGTTACACTGGGAAAAACGTTTTCCATTATCGTATTTTACGTCAGCAATACAATAATTTACAATCATGTTATTCTCCTCTTTGATGTTCTATACTTCCATAGTCTACAGTGGCCCTGATGAGTCCAGTGTAAATTGTTTTTGGAGACTTCCTGTCTGCTCAAGCACCTGCCAAGGTTGAGTACTTTGTATTTTTCAATAACCTTCATCATGTGTCGTCAGCTTTTCTTTGAACCAGAGTCCTACAAATGTGAAATAATCCTTTTTTATTATTTCCCCTTACAGTTGAATTGACTCCAGATCTTGTTTTGTCTCCCAATTAAAAGATACTTTGTCACAGGTAACCTGAATCCCCATTCCAAAATCTATTTTCTTAATTTCCTCTCGCATTTTTTAACAATGTATTCTATATTTCTTCCCCTTTTCCATTTAATAGTGATGTCAGGGCTATAGGCCCATCTTTGTTTGGTTTGCATATAGAAACAACCACAGCTCCTTTCCACTGCAAAGGAAGGTATTTCTTTTCCCACGCTGTGTTACACAAGGCTAACAAAATGTCTTTACTTTTCTTATTAAGAGATTTTATCATGCAACAATGAATTTGGTCATTTCCTGGAGCTGGTCTTCTCCTGAGTGACCTGTTCATTTGGTTAATGAGAATAACACATCCAGAGTATGATTGCTTTCTTCTTCCTGCAGTGCTTCTTTGCTTTCTTGTGTAGTGTGTTCCCTTTGCAATCTCTCCTCCTTGGACAGATTGCCACAGCTGTGAACCACGGCCAGTGTCTCTGCTGTTAGCTCTGCTTTCTCTTTGCTCCCTGCTACATCTCTTTCTCCATCTTTCACAACTGGATATGTTCCTTTCCTCCGGCCAGACATCTTCCAAATCATGTTCCAAATCTGCCCCCATAAAGTGCTATGTGCATTAACATCTCCACCCCAAATAATGTCCCCTCTCTAGTGATCAAAATTACTTCCAATTTGTCTTTTTATAGATTTATTGCATGTGTTACGGGTGTGTACTGTGTTCTCTCTCTCTCCAGGTAGCAGAAGAGATCTTGGATTTGATGGCACACACTTTGCAGTGTGTGCGTGATGGTTTTTTGTGTTTGCCAATGTGCTGGCAGTTAATCATTGTTTTGATTTGTCGGTTTATTTTCATTTGTTACTCTCCAGGTCCCTAGACTTTAATTGAGGAACGTAACAATTTGGATTATAGAAATGTGTTATTTTTAATTGCTCTTTCCCCACACCTCATTTACAAAAACTTCCAATTCATTTGTTTGAATTTGCCTGTACCTTTCGTTTTCTTTAATAAATATTGCCCTGTATCCCGTCTTACGTATAGTTATATATAATTTTATAATGAAATCAAGTCCCTTGATCCAACGCGTATTCTCTTGTAACGCCACTGCTCACCCGACCAAAGTTAACCATCTGACTCCTCCCATTCCCCAGACCACCTGTAACATTCACTTTACCAGGTGAGAATCACGTCCCTGGAAACTAGTACAGTGGTTTGTGATCAGTTGCTTTCTCGTTTTATCATGCACCATTTTTCAGGAATCAGGAATCAGGAAACATTTATTACCAAATATGCCAAACATACAAGGAATTTGTCTTGGCGGTTGGTGCGCGACAGTAGACAGACAAGACAGCAGTGCACAAGTAATAAAATAAAGTAAAATGAAATGCTAATGCAATGGGTTAGTAGAATAAGGCTATGGGTTAGTATAAAACAAGGGAATAAAGTTAAAAATTTTAAATATTAAAAAGTAAAAAATAATAATAATTATACCTTCATTGTAGGTTCTGCTGCACCTTGGTGGGGCAACTTTCAAAGACCTCAAATATTTTAGTTAAATACATTTTAGAGTTCATAATTTATGCCTTATTTTAGCATTTAGTCTTTTCCATTTGTGATCCGTGTGGTTAAGGAACAGCTTAAGACAACTTTCAATTAATTGTTTTTCAACATTTATTCACAACCGCAAAAGACAAAATAAAATACAACAAAAAAAAGACATTTCCTAAAAATCGTTAAAAACAAGAAGCCAATCCAGGAAAACATTAAAGGCCTTCTGGTATTTTTCTGCAATTCTGCACTTTAACATGAAAAAAATAGAATTAACACAAGATGGTTCACATAAATCTATGCAGTAAAATGTTGATAAAATAACAAATGGAACATTAAAATCAGTCAAACTTGTATTTCAACGGTAAACAGTGCCACAAAATCGCCCCGGTCATCGTACAAATTAGGCTGGAGGGAAATGAAGACGCTGTTAACACTGATACGCCAAAACTTGAACATCAAAGATGTATTATTGCGAAGATCACAACAGTATCTTTTCTCACTCCAATCTCTCACACCGGCTGAACTGGGAATGAAGATTGCTGGTGAGGTTCTTGTTGCCTGGAAATGAGGTATTTAGTCCCAAAACCCATAAAATCTATTTGGAGCAGGTGCTCTATGGGCTGGGCAGGCAGGGCAAGGCAGGGCGGTGGTTAGCACTCTCGCCTCACAGCAAGAAGGTCCGGGGTTCAACTCCACCTAGTGGCCTTCTCCTGTTCTCCCTGTGTCTGCGTGGGTTCTCTCCGGATACTCTTCTGGCTTCCTCACACAGTTCAAAGACGTGCTCTGGGGATTAACTGACCACAGGCTTCACAGGCGGGCTCTAGGGACAAACAATACCACCTCTCGGGGGGAAGAAATCTGAGCCTGTGCAGGAGGTTGAGCTCCATCAGCCAGATATAATATGACTTAACTTCATGCTGTTGCTACTTCAGGAACCAAGCCCTTGGAGAGGGGCAGGATCCAGACAGGTGTGGGGGTATCCATGAGCCGTCTGTGCATGAGTTTTACCCCAGTGAACAAGAGGATCGCCTCATTGAGACTGAATCCCAGGGAGGAAGTCTCTACAGTTGTTTTGTAATTGTGAACATGGAAAAGTAGCTGCAAATATCTGTCTTCATTGTTCTGCTGGGGGTATTAACGTACGTGGGCAACAGTGATGTAACCAAGAGATGGGGCTGATTGAGTTAAGGCGCTAAACGGGATTCTCATCTGTGTGAGTTTTTATGTGGAATGCTGGACATCGATGCATCCTCAGAATTACAATGTCAGTAAAGCATTTGCCGCAGCGTTTGCAGGTTTTCTCCCCTGTGTGAGGTCTCATGTGTGTCTTCAGATGTGTCTTCAGATGTCCACTATTCGTGAAAAATTTACCACATTCTGAGCAGCTATATGGTTTCTCCCCTGTGTGACATCTGATGTGTTCCTTCAGTTTCTGACCTGAAGTGAAACATTTACCACAATGTAGGCATTTGAATGGTTTCTCACCTTTGTGATATCTGTTGTGAATCTTTAGCCTGGCACTTGAGGAGAAACATTTACCACACTCTAAGCAGCTGAAAGGTTTCTCCCCTGTGTGACTTCTCATGTGACTCTTTAGACTTCCACTTATAGTGAAACATTTACCACACTCTAAGCAGCTGAAAGGTTTCTCCCCTGTGTGACATCTCATGTGAGTCTTCAGACTTCCGCTTTGAGTGAAACACTTGCCACATTCTGAGCAGCTGAAAGGTTTCTCCCCTGTGTGACGTCTCATGTGAGTCGTTAGACTTCCACCTTGAGTGAAACGTTCACCACACTCTGAGCAGCTATAAGGTTTCTCCCCTGTGTGACATCTCATGTGAGTCTTCAGACTTCCAATCGCAGTGAAACACTTACCACACTCTGAGCAGCTATAAGGTTTCTCCCCTGTGTGACATCTCCTGTGAACCCTCAGGTCTCCACGGTTATTGAAAGATTTACCACACTCTTGGCAGCTGAGAAGATTCTCTGATGTATGGGTCATCATGTGTCTCTTCAGCTTTTTAATGCAATCAAATGCTTTCGTACATTCAGAACAGATCAACGGTTGATCACTTGTTCTACATTTTGAACCTTTATCATTGGAGTTTGAACCTGAGTGAGGTTCTCTGGTCTCATTCCAATCAACACTGTCGTCAGTCTCAGGTTCAGATGAGTCTCCAGTCTCCTCCTCAGTATCTGGTTCTGGAGGACCATCTCGACCAGAGTTCCTGTCTGGTTCTGGTCCTCCACAGTCCTCTCCATCACCTTTTGTCTCCATTTGTTTAGTTTGTCTCTGATGAAGCTGTGAGGACTGAGCTTCCTCTTCATCATCTACACTCTTCACAGGAATGACTGAGACCTTTGTGTCAGCCTCCTCCAGCCCTTGAAGCTGCTCCTCTTTAATGTGGGGGGGCTCTGGTGCCCCCTGGTCCTCCTTGATGTGGGGGGGCTTTAGGTCCTCCTGCTGCTCTTCTTTAATCATAAACAGCTGGTGGAGGTCTGTGGATAGTAATACAATTATTGCTGGGCAAAGACAAAAAAATGTAACTAGATGAATTGCATAACGTTCTGTGATTAACTGCAATTAATTAAATTATGCGCAAAGTTCAATTCAATTAATTTCACTTTGTACAGCCCAAATTCGCAATTTACAAATCTGCAACAGAGGGCGTTACAGTCTGTACACATGCAACTACACAATTAAAACACGACCCGCTGATCAAACACAACGGCAGTCAGAAACACAAACACAGGCACCTTATCCCTCACCAAGGGGTGATTATTTGTAGGAAGTGTTAATGCACAAGTTATGTCTACGACTTGATCTGTTGTTGTCAGTAGAGCATAAATATTAATTTTGTATTTTTAAGCCGTATAACTGGTGTATGTTATTAAAACTATTGCACAAGTTAATAAGAGTGTACATTGTCAAATTATTTATCAGTAATACAGTAAAAATGATGGGACAACTTTGCAAGTTGATTTTTAGTGTGCAGCCCTAGATTTTCTCCTTGCGCCCCTAAAGTTTAGGGGCCACTGTGCTCCTAGTAAGAAAAGTTAAGTCTGGAGCCCTGCTGTCCCGAAATCCTCACATCGGCAGACGAAAACCCTTCAATGGGGAAAAAAAGGGAAGAAAGCTCAGTGAGAACGTCAGAGGCGGATCCCTCTCCCGGGATGGACAGACTACAATGATACATGTGTACAGAATGAACAATGTAAAAGTTGTATAATACATTCAATTCCTATAACAGATGATTCAAATAAATGCGAGTAGTAAGCCAAGTGTACGACAGGACCACTGCAGGGACAACCACCATCAGACAGAACCACCATCAGATAGAACCAGTTGCCGTCCTTTATGGATTTCTCTCAATTGTATCCCCAAAGAGGGTTTTTTCTCCTGTCAGGTAGTAGATGAGCAAGTGATTTTTTTTTTTTTTTTTGTGCTTTCGCCCCTATCAGGTCTCCGTAGATCGTGGTTCCTTCGGGACCCTGGTCCTGACACCTACCGTGGCCATGCTGACGCCTGCTGCCATTATCATCATCATTATTTTAGATATTAATCATATTACTGTACTCGTAAACCAACATTACCCTCTCCTAAAATCTCTGTGCTCTCCCTCCCCACAGGAGTCTGTGGATGGTGGTTCTATGTGATGGTGGTTCTATCTGATGGTGGTTGCCCCTGCAGTGGTCCTGCTGTGCGCCTGGCTTACTACTCACAATTACTTGAATCATTCCTGTCATATAGTCTCATGTATTATACATTGTTCATTCTGTACACATGGCATCCATTGTAGTCTGTCCATCCCGGGAGTGGGATCCCTCCTCTGACGTTCTCCCTAAGGTTTCTTCCCTTTTTTCCCTCTTGTAAGGGTTTTTTTCATTTTTTGGGGAGTTTTTCCTGTGCCGATGGTGGGTTTCGGGGCAGAGGATGTCGTATGTGTACAGACTGTAAAGCCCTCTGAGGCAAATTTGTAATTTGCGATTCTGGGCTATACAAAATAAAATGACTTGACTTGACTTGAATGTAAGACAGCCGATTGAGAAAAATGTCTTGAGAATTGGACCACACGAACTGTAATAGATCGTATGATGTAGTGTGATGAACTGCGATCATTTATGATGTGTTGTAATTAAAGTGTACTAGTTATAAGATGAAGACAAACTATGTATGCTTTGTGATATTCACTCATTGAGGCATGAAGCCAAACGTATCTACATTGAATGCATTGGAATGTGAGGGACAGATGGACAGAGAGGTTTCAGGTTACAGCGTCACACCTCAATGTGAAGGGGACAAGCCAGGAGGAGACACGTTTGAAGGAGAAGCCAATGACATTAAAATGCACCCAAGAATCAGGAATCAGGAAACATTTATTGCCAAAATATGTCAAACATACAAGGAATTTGTCTTGGCGGTTGGTGCGTGACAGCAGACAACAAGACAGCAGTGCACAAGTAATGAAATAAAGTAAAATGAAATGCTAATGCAATGGGTTAGTAGAATAAGGCTATGGGTTAGTATAAAACAAGAGAATAAGGTTAAACATTTAAAATATTCAAAAAGTTAAAATATTAAGCATAATGTGCACCTTTCTCCGTTTCCTCGGTTAACGTGCGCAGCAGTGTTGCTTTTTCTTTTTTCTATCCAGTTAATGCATGATATTATTATTATTATTATTAGGGCTGCAACTAACGATTATTTTGATAATCGATTAATCGAATAAACAGCATTAAAAAGCTTTATTTTCCAACCTTTTACTCTAAAACAGAACTGCAAATTCACATTGCAAAAATACTTACAGGTACAAGTACAGGTTGCTCCTTGAACATAATTTATAAAAAAGGTTAAGAAAATATAAATCACAAAATGTTTTAACGTCAGAACATGTTCTCTATTCTACACGCGAGTGTAGTCCGGCTCGGAGGATCCACTGAGGCTGTAGCGTGTTGCGTCTCACTACGCTATCAGACACGTATCGATCCGGGGATCCGGATCGTTCGATCACTCGCCAACTTCACCGAACTGAAGCGGAAACATATCGATTAGACTGACGTCAGTGAGGAGAGCGAGAGAGAACCAACCTGCTCTGTGAACGCGGACTTCTGGGTTGAAAGCAGCGCGCAGACGTTTCTTTAGTCCCTCGTTGTCCTCTTTTAATCCAGAAGCTTCCTCCTCGTACTCTGCTATCGTTCTTTCAAACAGCCCAAATGTCTCTTCGGCGTCCTCGGTGATTCGCTGCTTCAGTAAACATCTCAGCATTTGGACGTTGGACATCTTCACTGAATCTCAGACACGTGTCCTCCAGATAAACACCGTTGGTTCTCCGTTAAACTCGGACTAGCACCGTGCCGCTAACTTCCAGCTAGCGTGCTAAGCTAACCTCTATAGCTTGATGATGAGTCAGAGGAACAAGATCCAGAAAAAAAGGTGAGCAGCTGAAAGTCCATCAGAGGTTCATCCGGACTCTGGTGGATCCGGATCAGGACTGATGGAGACCCTCCTGCTTCGAAGCTCGTGTCAAAATATGAACCAGTGCAGGCGAAGCAAACGTACCGGTGCTCGGTTCGTTCGCTGCTGATCACGTGATCAGTGACGTCCGACGCTTCGTTCCGGCGCACAGTCACGTGACCGCTTCGAATTGATTCAAATGGGCTGGAAACAGGGTTCGGGCTTGTTGGTTTGATACAGTCAAAGTCAGTGTTGTAGTAGTAGTAGTTGTTGTAGTTGTGTGTTGTTGTTGTTGTGTAACAACAACAACAACAACAACAACCTCACAACCTCAACAACAACCTCATCTGAACCTCAGCGTTTTGACTGCTCGGAGACGCCATCTCCACAGAGCACTGTAATACGTGCTGGTGCATTTGACCTGCTTCTAAGCAATAAATGGACTTTTACAACTTTGATCATTCATCAAGACTCTGTTTTTATCAGACAAACATTGAAACAAATCATTCTCTTCTCCCGAACTAGTAACAGAAATATTCAACAACAAAGCCCAGTTGAGGACATCTGGAAAAATCCAGCCAAACGACTTCTCTCGTTCTGGTAGATTCATCTGTCAGATCACAGGTCAAGTATCAGCGCTGCGTTTGCAGGTCTGTCGGCCTGTAGGCCAGAAGAACAACCGACTAACAGCAGGAAGAACATTACGGTTTGTACTTGTTGTTACACTTTGTACTTGTTGTTACACTTTGTACTTGTTGTTACACTTTGTACTTGTTGTTACACTTTGCACTAGTGTTACACGTTGTACTTGTTGTTGCACTTTGTACTTGTTGTTACACTTTGTACTTGTTGTTGCACTTTGTACTTGTTGTTACACTTTGTACTTGTTGTTACACTTTGTACTTGTTGTTGCACTTTGTACTTGTTGTTACACTTTGTACTTGTTGTTACACTGGGAAAAACGTTTTCCATTATCGTATTTTACGTCAGCAATACTATAATTTACAATCATGTTATTCTCCTCTTTGATGTTCTATACTTCCATAGTCTACAGTGGCCCTGATGAGTCCAGTGTAAATTGTTTTTGGAGACTTCCTGTCTGCTCAAGCACCTGCCAAGGTTGAGTACTTTGTATTTTTCAATAACCTTCATCATGTGTCGTCAGCCTTTCTTTGAACCAGAGTCCTACAAATGCGAAATAATCCTTTTTTATTATTTACAATTGAATTGAACTGTAGGAGGAGTTTCATCATATATATAGAGGTGTTATTTGGCGCCGCGATCGAACCTTCCTTTTGGACTCATCCACGGGTTCACGCTCCAGGATTCGTAGTGAAACAGCAGAGGCCTCTCGCAGTGTGGTTCTTCTTCTCTTCAATGGTATGAGAGGCCCCTCCACAAACCAGTGAGACACTGGTGCTTCTGTTCAGATTCACCATCAACAGCTTAATGCATGAACTAGGGGGCTGTCTTCTTCTTAGCCAATAGAACACACTTTGTAACCTAACAGAGGAAAAACCCTCAGGAAAACATGCATCTTAAGGTTTAGTGTGTCGACTTCGTGCCGCATAATGTGACTCAGCACCCAAACCCTTATGTGGTTAACAGTGAGCAGTTTGTTTAGTTTTAATCAACAGATGAACCTCTGAGACCGGGGGGGGGGGGGGGGACAGGATCCTTAGGTGGTAATGATGTTGCATTCGGGGGGCTATGGGTCTCCCATATAGATACAGCCACGGTTCACTTCTTGACACCCTGGCAGACTGGTGCATCCTCACATTTAAGACATTTCCACTGAGAGCCAGATGTACTACAAGGGGGAGCAATGGACCAGATATGTGGTAAGTATACTAGTATATATAAGTATATATATATATACACACACACACACACACACACATTGGTATAAATAAAATAAATTAAAAAAAACTTTAACAATTGTACTATGTCGAGTGATTCATATTTGTTTTGATATATGTATATATATTTTTAATAGGTATTTACACCTTTTAGAAATAGATGACAGCTCGCATCCTATACACGTGAGTCTTGATAAACTGGAAAAGGAGATTGCTGCACTCAGTTGTCTACCAACAACGACTACGGGTCCCAACCAGGGAGCTGGCACAGGAAGGGAAAATGTCAGTATGATATAAGCTTTCTATATATTTATTATTTGACGAATCATTCATGGGGATTTTATAATTCTCTTGAAAGATTCGACATCTCGGGAAAAGCCGTCTGACCGTCGCTGTCAAACGGGGGTTGCAGGTAACTGGAACAATATCAAATATTTTTTATGTATTCTATTGATTATTGTCGTTGAACTTTTTTTTTGTTTAAATAACAGACCTGTATGCCCCTCCAGTAAACAAAAAAAAGTACAAACGGTTGTCCAGTCTGAGAGACCTTCTACAAGGTATGTGACATCATATATATATATATAGGCAATTGTTTTATAACATATTTTGTCCATGACAAACACAGGACGCCAACGGCAGCTCCATAAAACCATACCTGATAGCTCAGAATGCATCCAGTGAAGCTATCATAGCTCTACTTACAAATACATTTTATTTATTTATTTAAACAACACGGGCTGCGAGTTGTAGTGATGTGGGAGTGTGAGTGGTCTTCGTTAAAACGGTCGAGCGGGGCTGTACAGGCTTTTATGGCTACTTACAAAAAGCGTGAGCGTCTGGAGCCTAGAAAGGCCCTCTTTGGGGGACGTACAGACGCTATGAAGCTGTACCACAAGATCGGTGCTGATGAAAAAATCAGGTACTACGACTTCACCAGTCTTTATCCGACGGTTCAGGCTAAAAAGCAGTATCCCGTTGGACATCCTCAGGTGATCCTGATGGATTTTGAGTCTATTGACAAGTATTTTGGACTCATAAAGTGCACAGTGCTACCGCCCAGAGGGCTGTTTCACCCGGTGCTACCATACAGATGTCATGACAAACTCATGTTCCCCTTGTGTGAGGATTTGAATCAGAGTGGCGAGTGCACTCACGGAGACAGAGACAGACTGCTGGCGGGGTTCTGGGTGTCAATTGAACTGCAGAAGGCTGTGGAAACGGGATACAGGCTTGTGTCCATTGATGAAGTTTGGCATTTCCCCAACAAAACAGACACATTGTTCAGCGGGTATGTGAAGACATTCACGAAGCGTAAACAGGAAGCGTCAGGCTACCCCGGCCATGTCTAAACCCCCGACGACAAGGAGAAATATGTCAAAGACTATTTTGAAAAGGAAGGCATTCAATTAAACCCTGACAAAATCAGGGTCAACAAAGCCATGAGAAGCTGCAACAAACTCCTCCTAAACTCTTTGTGGGGCCGTTTTAGTATGCGCAATAATATGCCTGCATGCGAGCTGATCACAGATCCGGCTCGGTTCACACAATTGATGTTTAGCGACCACTTTGATGTGCGACAATTCTGTTTTCTCTCAGATGACGTGGCTTTGGTACAGTGGCGACATGCAGACGCCCGCGGTTCCCGTATAAAAGACGTAAACGTCTTTGTAGGAGCCCTGACAACTGCCCATGCCAGATTGATGCTCTACGACTTGTGAGACAAACTGCAGGAGAGGGTCTTGTACTGTGACACAGACAGCGTTGTCTTTACATCGAGAGGGAGCGACTGGGTGCCGCCCCTGGGGGCATATCTTGGTGACCTGACTGATGAGTTAAACAGCGGAGACATATGCGGGCTGCCTAGTGAAGACTACATCACAGAGTTTGTATCAGGAGGACCCAAATGCTACGCCTATGACACCCTGCAGGGTAAAACAGCTGTCAAATGTAAAGGCGTCACATTAAACGCTAGAAACGCCTCCGTCGTCACCCCCCAGTCACTGATTGGCCTCGTACAGGCTTATGTAACCAATCACAACACACACACTTTGACCACAGTGTCTGAAACTATCAGGCGGGATAAGAAGAAGTTCCATCTTAAAAACGAGACAAGTCAGAGTGGCGTACAATAAGCGGAGGGTGTTGTCTGACTATACGACCCTTCCTTATGGATACATAAGGGTACAACTTGTACAGTTGGATGAAGACCGTCTTCTCATTGTCTTTATTGACTGCTGATGGCTGCATCTTTATGGACCTGTGGTGTGAGTTATTATAGACCTCGACAAGCTCGTGTACTGCATCCACATATCTTCGTGAATTAACGGATGTTAAATATCTCCACATGCGGGTTTTAAAAGTCCTGTTAAAGCGCTCCACCACGCTGGCCTTGGTCTCATTCGATGTTGAAAAATGCGCCATTTTATACTGTGACATTAACCGCTGAAAGTGTTTGTTATAAAACTCTGTACCTTCATCTGTTTGAAGTTTCACAGGGATGCGTCCGTCACTCAGAATGTCTTTAAAGGCTTTTGTGACTGTGAGGCCAGATTTGTTAGAAAGACATCTAACCCACGCACATTTGGAAAATACATCGATACACGTCAGCAAATACCGCACAGTGTCATTTTCCTCAGCATATTCACCCATATCAACTAGATCAGCCTGAAACTGTTTGTCAATGCCGCTGACCAAAACCCTATTCCTCGGGAAATGTACGGCTGGCTTGGCGTGTAATGTGTACACGTCTTGCGCCAGTAGGTATTCGTTAACACTAGATAGTGACGGCGTCACTCCGGTACATTCTCCAACCGCATTGCGAAGTTTAGACACACTGCCTAACCCTCCCGGATGGGCTGGGTCTAGATAAATCTTCTGTAGAGTCCCTTCCATGATAATACCAAAGTATAAATGACCGACAGTTCATTCGTTACAACATATTTTATTTCTCTTGTACAACATGTGACAAGCAGATTGATAGTATAGTAGTATTTCGCCCCATTGCAAAAACCAAAATACATTTTCAGTTATAAAAACACTCAGAAAACTTCATTCATTTTCGATTTCATTTTTTTTTTTTTAGCATGTTTGATTGTTTTTACACATCAATGTCTGTCGCATCATCATCATCATCATCATCATCATCGGGTACCTCCCACGCTTCATACGGGTTTGATACTTCTCCCCACAACCTGCCAAGCTTTTTCAGTTGGTTCATTTTGAGTTCATCTTCCCCGATCAGTGTATCATACATTTTCTGGATACTTTCAGCCGCATTGCCTCCAGATTTCAGCTCGTCAAGAAGTACTTCCGCACCCCCCTGGACGCGGTCTGCATCGACTTGAAGGTCATTCATATCCATAAACAGTAGGATGGCGGATATGAAGTTCTCATTCCAGAGCCTTTTCATCAGCAGATCAAAGTGTAGTTCTGTGAACCAGTCACATGGGTATAAACACGGATAGTTTGTCTGACTGGGATTATTTGTTTGACAGCCGTAGCAGATCTCTATATTATATTTAACCCAGACCTTGTTCAACAGATGTAGCACCCTGATTCCAAGGTATTCTAGGAACCGTGCAGTATCCTTAAACACCTCGTCAGGTTCACAGAACTTATTTTCTACCACCTGTCATTCATTTAGATCAGGGGTCTCAAACTCAAATCAGCTGCGGGCCAGATGCAGCCCACTTCAACCGAACGCGGGCCAGACTAGCGTCCGAACGGCATGGTCGACAATAACACAACTTAACACTCACTTTCAAAAGCAGTCATTGAACCCAACCCTGGGGGATCGGTCCGAATGAGACTACAACACTAGTCCTCCTTTAACTCAGCGGGGGAGACCTAAGGTCATGTGACCGTGGAATTCCTTTATAGCCAAACGTGAAGTTACGTGAATCGAAGCTGCGTAGTAATGGACGGAGACGCTCGTCGGTGACGTCAGATGCTTCATGTGTTGTTAGTGTGAGTCGTAAAGGAAAACTTTATTAAACGAGCGATGCTAACGGTTAGTCACATGATCACCTGCGCGAAAGAGGGCAGGAAACTGAATTTCACCCTCCTGCTCTCTGCACCTCGGCCGACACACACGACCCGCCCCCCATGTCAGTCACATGCATGCCACGTTCACTGGACAAGCACACAGTAGGAAACCAGAACATCATAACATGTCCCACACAGCAGCTGACAGTGGGGTTACAGTATAAAACTTGCGGGCCGCACTAACATTACACTTTCATATTAAGGATGGGGCCACAAAATATCGTCCCGAGGGCCCTGATTTAGATGGTTGAGGGGTGAATTATTTTCGGTCTACACATGGTAGTAGACATACCAGGTTGCACACCGCTCGGTGTATTGTCGTAAACAAGACGTTTTCTAACAGCCCCGTAAGCCTTGCTGACGCTGTCTCTCTGGATAGATTTGTCAATCTGACTAGACACTTTTTGCAGAGCGGGCCAGTCACACCACTGAACAAAGAACACGAGGGGGAACCATATATTAAACTCTTCAATGGTAAGAGGGTACGGATGCTCTCTCAATCCTCGGCGGCCTCTTTGAGCTAGCACATAATCTCCGTCTTCACAAACATTTTAAAAAATGAAATCGTCAGGCCGTCTGTTGTACCGATCTGCCGTGAGATGGTGTATTTTAGGCCCTGTTGTACTATACCACTGAACAGAGTATAGAGATTCTAGAAAACCTTTTTGTTCAAGATCTATGCAGACAATTGATCGAAACTGCTGCCAGTCTTTTACAGACATACACCCATGTCGACCCCCCACAACATGTATAAGTAGCATTTAGTCTTTTCCATTTGTAATCCGTGCGGTTAGGAAATGGATTAAGAACTCTCAATTGTTTTTCATGTATTCTCAACCGCAAAAGACAAAATAAAATCCATTGAATGTCTTAATTTCGTTTTAAGCACCTCTGTTCGCTCAGCAATGTAAAATGACTTGATTGATGATCATAAATGATTTTATTCTTGTTTTGCTGCTTAATACAAAGTTATCCAAATATGTACTCAGGTGAAAATGCAGATTAACAGACAATGAATATTAAAATAACCAGTAAAAAAACATCCAACCTAAATCCTAACAACAAATTTCCTAAAAAAACGTTTAAACAATATTCAAAAAAAAAAATCTTAAGGCATAAAAACATTAAAGGCCTTCTGGTATTTTTCTACAAGTCCGCACTTTAACATGAACTCATTGAGGGACGAAATAATCGCGCAACACAACAAATCAATAATGAAATTAGTTTCATCGCTCCGTTGTTGCAGCCCTACTAGACATGAGGTATTTGGTTCGACTAGAAAAAAACTAAGATGTATTTGGAGCAGCCGCTCTATGGGCGCACCACTCAAAGAGATATGCAGCTTGTGTGACAACCTCAGGCTTCACAGACTGGCTCTAGTGAAAAGCAATACCACTTCTCGGGGAGGAGAAACCTGAACCTTGTGGAGGTTGAGCTCCATCAGCCAGGGAGGTGAGAGCCTCCGTGGATGAGTTTCCATGTCAAAACTCACATGGGCAACAATGATGTAACCAAGAGAGGGTGCTGATTGGGTAAAGGGGCTAAAGAGGATTCTCATCTGTGTGAGTTTGCATGTGGACTTTTACAGTTTGACATTGATGCTTCCTCAGTGTTCCACCTTGTGTGAAAGATTTACCACACTCTGCAGAGCTGAAAGGTTTCTCCCCTGTGTGACATCTCATGTGAGTCTTTAGACTTCTGCTTGCAGTGAAACATTTACCACACTGTGAGCAGCTGAAAGGTTTATCCCCTGTGTGACATTGCATGTGTTTATTCAGATTTCCTTTTTGAGTGAAACATTTACCACACTGTGAGCAGCTGAAAGGTTTCTCCCCTGTGTGACATCTCATATGTAGCTTCAGGTGTTCGTTTTGAGCGAAAAATTTACCACACTCCGAGCAGCTGAAAGGTTTCTCCCCTGTGTGACATCTCATGTGAGTCTTTAGACTTCCGCTTGCAGTGAAACATTTACCACACTGTGAGCAGCTGAAAGGTTTCTCCCCTGTGTGACACCTCATATGTATCTTCAGGTGTTTGTTTTGAGCGAAACAGTTACCACACTGTGAGCAGCTGAAAGGTTTCTCCCCTGTGTGACATCTCATGTGAGGCTTTAGACTTCCGCTTGCAGTGAAACATTTACCACACTGTGAGCAGCTGAAAGGTTTCTCCCCTGTGTGACATCTCATGTGAGTCTTTAGACTTCCGCTTGCAGTGAAACATTTACCACACTGTGAGCAGCTGAAAGGTTTCTCCCCTGTGTGACATCTCATGTGAGTCTTTAGACTTCCGCTTGCAGTGAAACATTTACCACACTGTGAGCAGCTGAAAGGTTTCTTGCCTGTGTGACATCTCATGTGAGTCTTTAGACTTCCGCTTGCAGTGAAACATTTACCACACTGTAAACAGCTGAAAGGTTTCTCCCCTGTGTGACACCTCATATGTAGCTTCAGGTGTTCGTTTTGAGCAAAACAGTTACCACACTGTGAGCAGCTGAAAGGTTTCTCCCCTGTGTGACATCTCATGTGAGTCTTTAGACTTCCGCTTGCAGTGAAACGTTTACCACACTGTGAGCAGCTGAAAGGTTTCTCCCCTGTGTGACATCTCATGTGAGTCTTTAGACTTCCGCTTGCAGTGAAACGTTTACCACACTGTGAGCAGCTGAAAGGTTTCTTGCCTGTGTGACATCTCATGTGAGTCTTTAGACTTCCACTTGCAGTGAAACATTTACCACACTCCGAGCAGCTGAAAGGTTTCTCTGATGTGTGGCTCATCATGTGTCTCTTCAGCTCTTTGATGCAACGAAATGTTTTCTTACATTCAGAACAGATCAAAGGTTTCTCACTTGTTCTACATCTTGACTCACTGACGGAACCGTTATCATTATTAGGAGAGTTTAAACCTGCGTGAGGTTCTCTGGTCTCATTCCAATCATCAATGTCGTCAGTATCTGGTTCAGATGAGTCTCCAGTTTCGTCATCAGTATCTGGTTCTGGAGGACCATCTGGACCCGGGTTCCTGTCTGGTTCTGGTCCTCCACAGTCCTCTGCATCACCTTCTGTCTCCATCTGTTCAGTTTGTCTCTGATGAAGCTGTGAGGACTGAGCTTCCTCTTCATTATCTTCATTTTTCACAAGAGTGAATGAGACCTTCATGTCAGCCTCGTCCAGCCCTTGAAGCAGCTCTTCTTTGATAAGGGGGGACTCTGGGTCATCCTGGTCTAGACTAGAGCTCCCCTCCTGCTGCTCCTCTTTAACCACGAACATCTGCCGGAGGTCTGTGGAGAATAATGATGTATATAATACTAATAATAATAATGTAGACGGCTACAAACGCAGAGAATGCCTGGGGTCGTCGGACAAAGCATCTGCTAGTCAGTGGTTAACCGGCTGCAGCGTGGCAGGTGATTATACTTTGCAAACAGTCCACCACGTCCTGTATCCTTTGTGGGCCACTAGATATCATGCATCAACATGCTCTATAACAGGTGTAGACAAAAGCGTGTTGCTCTAGTGTTGTGCTAAATAAGAAAAGATAAGCACCACCGAGAGGTCCCGGTGTTGAAATGTGCTGTACAGAAAAACGTGCCGTCCCTTTACAACGTTCACTTCACGTATGATAATGGTAGAATAATACATGCAGCATACCTGTGAATCCTGAGTCTGCAAATCAAGCGCACTAAATCCGACACTGCTGATGGACTTTAACTCGTAGGCCGTAGTGAGAGACATGTGCAGACGCTTTAAAGTAATAATCACTTTCTGATGTCAGTGAGGAGAGCGAGAGAGAACCAACCTGCTCTGTGAACGCGGACTTCTGGGTTGAAAACAGCGCGCAGACGTTTCTTTAGTCCCTCGTTGTCCTCTTTTAATCCAGAAGCTTCCTCCTCGTACTCTGCTATCGTTCTTTCAAACAGCCCAAATGTCTCTTCGGCGTCCTCGGTGATTCGCTGCTTCAGTAAACATCTCAGCATTTGGACGTTGGACATCTTCACTGAATCTCAGACACGTGTCCTCCAGATAAACACCGTTGGTTCTCCGTTAAACTCGGACTAGCACCGTGCTGCTAACTTCCAGCTAGCGTGCTAAGCTAACCTCTATAGCTTGATGTTGAGTCAGAGGAAAAAGATCCAGAGAAAAAGGTGAGCAGCTGAAAGTCCATCAGAGGTTCATCCGGACGTGGAGAGACTCTGTTGGATCCGGATCCGGACTGATGGAGACAACTGATACTTGATCAACACGACGGAGACACGCTGCTGATGCTGCGGCCGATCGGCGCCATGTTGCTCTGAGATCGACATCCGGGTCCTTCTTCTTCTTCTGTCTTTTATTGGCGGTTGGAGAGCAGCGTCCTGCTGCGCATTAGCGCCACCTTCTGAAAAGGAGTGTGGACTGAAATGACGGTGCTACTGTTTCTGTATGTTTTATGTATCAGTGTTGTCTTTGCTTGTTATTTAAATAAGCCCCTATAAATAGGGATGGAGTCGATCCGATCCAGTATCGGTATCGGGACCCGATACCAGAGAAATTCGGGTATCGGATATTCCGATACAACCTTTGGAGATTTCCGATATCAATGAGCCATGTCTGCGCTTTAACGTCGTCTGCTGAAAGGACTCCATAGGTGATCCCCGCCAGCTGGTCTCCTAGCCTGCTAGTATGCTAGCCTGATAGTCTGCTACCCTGCTACTGGACTACCTTGCTCATTTGCTAGCCAGCTAGCAGACCAGCAGGCTAGCATGATAGCACTGAGGCTAGACTGTTTAGCACGGCAGCCAATACCGTTGATGAAAAAAGGAATCGTCTAACTGCAGAGAGCAGAAATGCTCATATTCCTCAACAAGAACCTGCCGATGTCAGATTTGTTGAACACTACATCACTTCCTCAGAGTCAACTTTGAGACATTCAAGTTTTGTTTTCTTTTAAAGAATAGTTAAACTCTGGTGTTTAGTTTATTCCAGGTCATCTTAAGTGCTGTTCTGATGCACACTGTTTTAAAACTTATTGTGTGTGTGTGTGTGTGTGTGTGAGAGAGTGAGAGAGAGAGTGAGACTGTGTGTCAAGTGTGTAAGATGTTTACAGTTATTTTATTGCACTTTTCTTCAGATATTTGACATGTTGTTCATGATACAAGAGTCAGTTTACTTGATTTGTGCTGTTATTTTTGTGAACGAGTGAGTGAGACTGTGTGTCAAGTGTGTGTATGTGTGTGTGTGTGTGTGTGTGTGTGTGTGTGTGTGTGTGTGTGTGTGTGTGTGCACTTTTTTGTGTCACACGTTTTAAGACTTATTAAAAATAAGTCTTTGACATTTGACATTCATGAAATTAAATAAATATTGACTTGACAATCAATCTGAAACCCTTAGTTTCAAATTTGTTTTCAGAATTTTTTCTGTTAACAGGATTTCCTGTTTTTCAAACACAGCTCTGGTATCGGAATATTATCTGTATTGGCCGATATCCAAATTTAGGTATCGGGATTGGATCAGAAGTGAAAAAATGTGGATCGGTGCATCCCTACCTATAAAGTATATGTTGTGAATGAAGTTGTGTGAGTTCAAACCTAGCCTTTACTTTCTCTAGACGTCTCTGAGTCTTTTCCTGTAATGATTGTGTTGTGGACAATGGATGATGACGTGTTCTATTGTTTCCTGTTCACTGCAGGTACCTGTCGGGTGTTTCCTCAGTGTTCTTTGTGTGTTTCTCAGACCTGTGTGTCTAAACCTCATTGTAGTGATGACGTCCTCCTCTTTTTCCCTTCTGCTAGTTTCTCTCATTTCTCCAACTTTCTTTCGAATTTAATTATACTTCCATTCCTTCATCTGTCCTTCTCTCTACTTCTTTTTGAAAGAAGAACAAACCAACGTGATCACAATTGGAAGCAGTAATGGTAAAATATGTTAGAACACAAAGGCTGGAACAAAGGAACTGTCTGTTACCTCATCTGAACCTCAGCGTTTTGACTGCTCGGAGACGCCATCTCCACAGAGCACTGTAATACGTGCTGGTGCATTTGACCTCCTGCTTCTAAGCAATAAATGGACTTTTACAACTTTGATCATTCATCAAGACTCTGTTTTTATCAGACAAACATTGAAACAAATCATTCTCTTCTCCCGAACTAGTAACAGAAATATTCAACAACAAAGCCCAGTTGAGGACATCTGGAAAAATCCAGCCAAACGACTTCTCTCGTTCTGGTAGATTCATCTGTCAGATCACAGGTCAAGTATCAGCGCTGCGTTTGCAGTTCTGTCGGCCTGTAGGCCAGAAGAACAACCGACTAACAGCAGGAAGAACATTACGGTTTGTACTTGTTGTTACACTTTGTACTTGTTGTTACACTTTGTACTTGTTGTTACACTTTGTACTTGTTACACTTTGTACTTGTTGTTACACTTTGAACTTGTTGTTACACTTTGTACTTGTTGTTACACTGTGTACTTGTTGTTACACTTTGTACTTGTTACACTTTGTACTTGTTACACTTTGTACTTGTTGTTACACTGGGAAAAACGTTTTCCATTATTTCACGTCAGCAATACTATAATTTACAATCATGTTATTCTCCTCTTTGATGTTCTTATACTTCCATAGTCTACAGTGGCCCTGATGAGTCCAGTGTAAATTGTTTTTGGAGACTTCCTGTCTGCTCAAGCACCTGCCAAGGTTGAGTACTTTGTATTTTTCAATAACCTTCATCATGTGTCGTCAGCCTTTCTTTGAACCAGAGTCCTACAAATGCGAAATAATCCTTTTTTATTATTTACAATTGAATTGAACTGTAGGAGGAGTTTCATCATATATATAGAGGTGTTATTTGGCGCCGCGATCGAACCTTCCTTTTGGACTCATCCACGGGTTCACGCTCCAGGATTCGTAGTGAAACAGCAGAGGCCTCTCGCAGTGTGGTTCTTCTTCTCTTCAATGGTATGAGAGGCCCCTCCACAAACCAGTGAGACACTGGTGCTTCTGTTCAGATTCACCATCAACAGCTTAATGCATGAACTAGGGGGCTGTCTTCTTCTTAGCCAACAGGACACACTTTGTAACCTAACAGAGAAAAACTCTCACGGAAACCAACATTCTTAAGTTTTAGTGTGTCGACTTCGTGCCGCATAATGTGACCCAGCCCCAAACCCTGTCTAACCCCAAAGTGCCTTGAGAAGGGCCCCCCCCCCCACTGAGCCCCCAGGGATGGAGAGAAAACAGTGTCCTAATGTGGTTAACAGTGACAAGTTTGTTTAGTTTTATGCATATATATATATATATATATCTGGGGGGGGGGGGGGGGACAGGATCCTTAGGTGGTAATGATGTTGCATTCGGGGGGCTATGGGTCTCCCATATAGATACAGCCACGGTTCACTTCTTGACACCCTGGCAGACTGGTGCATCCTCACATTTAAGACATTTCCACTGAGAGCCAGATGTACTACAAGGGGGAGCAATGGACCAGATATGTGGTAAGTATACTAGTATATATAAGTATATATATATATATATACACACACACACACATTGGTATAAATAAAATGAATTAAAAAAAACTTTAACAATTGTACTATGTCGAGTGATTCATATTTGTTTTGATATATGTATATATATTTTTAATAGGTATTTACACCTTTTAGAAATAGATGACAGCTCGACGCCTATACACGTGAGTCTTGATAAACTGGAAAAGGAGATTGCTGCACTCAGTTGTCTACCAACAACGACTACGGGTCCCAACCAGGGAGCTGGCACAGGAAGGGAAAATGTCAGTATGATATAAGCTTTCTATATATTTATTATTTGACGAATCATTCATGGGGATTTTATAATTCTCTTGAAAGATTCGACATCTCGGGAAAAGCCGTCTGACCGTCGCTGTCAAACAGGGGGTTGCAGGTAACTGGAACAATATCAAATATTTTTTATGTATTTTATTGATTATTGTCGTTGAACTTTTTTTTTGTTTAAATAACAGACCTGTATGCCCCTCCAGTGAACAAAAAAAAGTACAAACGGTTGTCCAGTCTGAGAGACCTTCTACAAGGTATGTGACATCATATATATATATATAGGCAATTGTTTTATAACATATTTTGTCCATGACAAACACAGGACGCCAACGGCAGCTCCATAAAACCATACCTGATAGCTCAGAATGCATCCAGTGAAGCTATCATAGCTCTACTTACAAATACATTTTATTTATTTATTTAAACAGCACGGGCTGCGAGTTGTAGTGATGTGGGAGTGTGAGTGGTCTTCGTTAAAACGGTCGAGCGGGGCTGTACAGGCTTTTATGGCTACTTACAAAAAGCGTGAGCGTCTAGAGCCTAGAAAGGCCCTCTTTGGGGGACGTACAGACGCTATGAAGCTGTACCACAAGATCGGTGCTGATGAAAAAATCAGGTACTACGACTTCACCAGTCTTTATCCGACGGTTCAGGCTAAAAAGCAGTATCCCGTTGGACATCCTCAGGTGATCCTGATGGATTTTGAGTCTATTGACAAGTATTTTGGACTCATAAAGTGCACAGTGCTACCGCCCAGAGGGCTGTTTCACCCGGTGCTACCATACAGATGTCATGACAAACTCATGTTCCCCTTGTGTGAGGATTTGAATCAGAGTGGCGAGTGCACTCACGGAGACAGAGACAGACTGCTGGCGGGGTTCTGGGTGTCAATTGAACTGCAGAAGGCTGTGGAAACGGGATACAGGCTTGTGTCCATTGATGAAGTTTGGCATTTCCCCAACAAAACAGACACATTGTTCAGCGGGTATGTGAAGACATTCACGAAGCGTAAACAGGAAGCGTCAGGCTACCCCGGCCATGTCCAAACCCCCGACGACAAGGAGAAATATGTCAAAGACTATTTTGAAAAGGAAGGCATTCAATTAAACCCTGACAAAATCAGGGTCAACAAAGCCATGAGAAGCTGCAACAAACTCCTCCTAAACTCTTTGTGGGGCCGTTTTAGTATGCGCAATAATATGCCTGCATGCGAGCTGATCACAGATCCGGCTCGGTTCACACAATTGATGTTTAGCGACCACTTTGATGTGCGACAATTCTGTTTTCTCTCAGATGACGTGGCTTTGGTACAGTGGCGACATGCAGACGCCCGCGGTTCCCGTATAAAAGACGTAAACGTCTTTATAGGAGCCCTGACAACTGCCCATGCCAGATTGATGCTCTACGACTTGTGAGACAAACTGCAGGAGAGGGTCTTGTACTGTGACACAGACAGCGTTGTCTTTACATCGAGAGGGAGCGACTGGGTGCCGCCCCTGGGGGCATATCTTGGTGACCTGACTGATGAGTTAAACAGCGGAGACATATGCGGGCTGCCTAGTGAAGACTACATCACAGAGTTTGTATCAGGAGGACCCAAATGCTACGCCTATGACACCCTGCAGGGTAAAACAGCTGTCAAATGTAAAGGCGTCACATTAAACGCTAGAAACGCCTCCGTCGTCACCCCCCCCAGTCACTGATTGGCCTCGTACAGGCTTATGTAACCAATCACAACACACACACTTTGACCACAGTGTCTGAAACTATCAGGCGAGATAAGAAAGAAGTTCCATCTTAAAAACGAGACAAGTCAGAGTGGCGTACAATAAGCGGAGGGTGTTGTCTGACTATACGACCCTTCCTTATGGATACATAAGGGTACAACTTGTACAGTTGGATGAAGACCGTCTTCTCATTGTCTTTATTGACTGCTGATGGCTACATCTTTATGGACCTGTGGTGTGAGTTATTATAGACCTCGACAAGCTCCTGTACTGCATCCACATATCTTCGTGAATTAACGGATGTTAAATATCTCCACATGCGGGTTTTAAAAGTCCTGTTAAAGCGCTCCACCACGCTGGCCTTGGTCTCATTCGATGTTGAAAAATGCGCCATTTTATACTGTGACATTAACCGCTGAAAGTGTTTGTTATAAAACTCTGTACCTTCATCTGTTTGAAGTTTCACAGGGATGCGTCCGTCACTCAGAATGTCTTTAAAGGCTTTTGTGACTGTGAGGCCAGATTTGTTAGAAAGACATCTAACCCACGCACATTTGGAAAATACATCGATACACGTCAGCAAATACCGCACAGTGTCATTTTCCTCAGCATATTCACCCATATCAACTAGATCAGCCTGAAACTGTTTGTCAATGCCGCTGACCAAAACCCTATTCCTCGGGAAATGTACGGCTGCCTTGGCGTGTAATGTGTACACGTCTTGCGCCAGTAGGTATTCGTTAACACTAGATAGTGACGGCGTCACCCCGGTACATTCTCCAACCGCATTGCGAAGTTTAGACACACTGCCTAACCCTCCCGGATGGGCTGGGTCTAGATAAATCTTCTGTAGAGTCCCTTCCATGATAATACCAAAGTATAAATGACCGACAGTTCATTCGTTACAACATATTTTATTTCTCTTGTACAACATGTGACAAGCAGATTGATAGTATAGTAGTATCTCGCCCCACTGCAAAAACCAAAATACATTTTCAGTTATAAAAACACTCAGAAAACTTCATTCATTTTCGATTTCATTTTTTTTTTTTTAGCATGTTTGATTGTTTTTACACATCAATGTCTGTCGCATCATCATCATCATCATCATCATCATCGGGTACCTCCCACGCTTCATACGGGTTTGATACTTCTCCCCACAACCTGCCAAGCTTTTTCAGTTGGTTCATTTTGAGTTCATCTTCCCCGATCAGTGTATCATACATTTTCTGGATACTTTCAGCCGCATTGCCTCCAGATTTCAGCTCGTCAAGAAGTACTTCCGCACCCCCCTGGACGCGGTCTGCATCGACTTGAAGGTCATTCATATCCATAAACAGTAGGATGGCGGATATGAAGTTCTCATTCCAGAGCCTTTTCATCAGCAGATCAAAGTGTAGTTCTGTGAACCAGTCACATGGGTATAAACACGGATAGTTTGTCTGACTGGGATTATTTGTTTGACAGCCGTAGCAGATCTCTATATTATATTTAACCCAGACCTTGTTCAACAGATGTAGCACCCTGATTCCAAGGTATTCTAGGAACCGTGCAGTATCCTTAAACACCTCGTCAGGTTCACAGAACTTATTTTCTACCACCTGTCATTCTTTTAGATGGTTGAGGGGTGAATTATTTTCGGTCTACACATGGTAGTAGACATACCAGGTTGCACACCGCTCGGTGTATTGTCGTAAACAAGACGTTTTCTAACAGCCCCGTAAGCCTTGCTGACGCTGTCTCTCTGGATAGATTTGTCAATCTGACTAGACACTTTTTGCAGAGCGGGCCAGTCACACCACTGAACAAAGAACACGAGGGGGAACCATATATTAAACTCTTCAATGGTAAGAGGGTACGGATGCTCTCTCAATCCTCGGCGGCCTCTTTGAGCTAGCACATAATCTCTGTCTTCACAAACATTTTAAAAAATGAAATCTTTGCAGGAGGTTGAGCTCCATCAGCCAGGGAGGTGAGAGCCTCCGTGGATGAGTTTCCATGTCAAAACTCACATGGGCAACAATGATGTAACCAAGAGAGGGTACTGATTGGGTAAAGGGGCTAAAGAGGATTCTCATCTGTGTGAGTTTGCATGTGGACTTTTACAGTTTGACATTGATGCTTCCTCAGTGTTCCACCATGTCTGAAACATTTACCACACTCTGCACAGCTGAAAGGTTTCTCCCCTGTGTGACATCTCATGTGTGTCTTCAGATTTCCACTTAGAGTGAAACATTTACCACACTCTGGGCAGCTGAAAGGTTTCTCCCCTGTGTGACATCTCATGTGTACCTTCAGATTTTCACTTAGAGCGAAACATTTACCACACTCTGCACAGCTGAAAGGTTTCTCCCCTGTGTGACATCTCATGTGTGTCTTCAGATTTCCACTTAGATTGAAACATTTACCACACTCTGGGCAGCTGAAAGGTTTCTCCCCTGTGTGACATCTCATGTGTACCTTCAGATTTTCACTTAGAGCGAAACATTTACCACACTCCGAGCAGCTGAAAGGTTTCTCCCCTGTGTGACATCTCATGTGAGTCTTTAGACGTCCGCTTGCAGTGAAACATTTACCACACTGTGAGCAGCTGAAAGGTTTCTCCCCTGTGTGACACCTCATGTGAGTCTTTAGACTTCCGCTTGCAGTAAAACGTTTACCACACTGTGAGCAGCTGAAAGGTTTCTCCCCTGTGTGACACCTCATGTGTGTCTTCAGATTTCCTCTTAGAGTGAAACATTTACCACACTCTGTGCAGCTGAAAGGTTTCTCCCCTGTGTGACATCTCATGTGAGTCTTCAGATTTCCGCTTGCAGTGAAACGTTTACCACACTGTGAGCAGCTGAAAGGTTTCTCTCCTGTGTGACACCTCATATGTATCTTCAGGTGTTTGTTTTGAGCGAAACAGTTACCACACTGTGAGCAGCTGAAAGGTTTCTCCCCTGTGTGACATCTCATGTGAGTCTTTAGACTTCCGCTTGTAGTGAAACATTTACCACACTGTGAGCAGCTGAAAGGTTTCTCCCCTGTGTGACACCTCATATGTAGCTTCAGGTGTTCGTTTTGAGCAAAACAGTTACCACACCGTGAGCAGCTGAAAGGTTTCTCCCCTGTGTGACATCTCATGTGAGTCTTTAGACTTCCGCTTGCAGTGAAACGTTTACCACACTGTGAGCAGCTGAAAGGTTTCTCCCCTGTGTGACACCTCATATGCGTCTTCAGGTGTTTGTTTTGAGCGAAACAGTTACCACACTCTGAACAGCTGAAAGGTTTCTCCCCTGTGTGACATCTTATGTGAGTCTTTATACTTCCGCTTCTAGTGAAACATTTACCACACTGTGAGCAGCTGAAAGGTTTCTCCCCTGTGTGACATCTCATGTGAGTCTTTAGACTTCCGCTTGCAGTGAAACAGTTACCACACTCCGAGCAGCTGAAAGGTTTCTCTGATGTGTGGCTCATCATGTGTCTCTTCAGCTCTTTAATGCAACGAAATGTTTTCTTACATTCAGAACAGATCAAAGGTTTCTCACTTGTTCTACATCTTGACTCACTGACGGAACCGTTATCATTATTAGGAGAGTTTAAACCTGAGTGAGGTTCTCTGGTCTCATTCCAATCATCAATGTCGTCAGTATCTGGTTCAGATGAGTCCTCAGTTTCGTCATCAGTATCTGGTTCTGGAGGACCATCTGGACCCGGGTTCCTGTCTGGTTCTGGTCCTCCACAGTCCTCTGCATCACCTTCTGTCTCCATCTGTTCAGTTTGTCTCTGATGAAGCTGTGAGGACTGAGCTTCCTCTTCATTATCTTCATTTTTCACAAGAGTGAATGAGACCTTCATGTCAGCCTCGTCCAGCCCTTGAAGCAGCTCTTCTTTGATAAGGGGGGACTCTGGGTCATCCTGGTCTAGACTAGAGCTCCCCTCCTGCTGCTCCTCTTTAACCACGAACATCTGCAGGAGGTCTGTGGAGAATAATGATGTATATAATACTAATAATAATAATAATGTAGACGGCTACAAACGCAGAGAATGCCTGGGGTCGTCGGACAAAGCATCTGCTAGTCAGTGGTTAACCGGCTGCAGCGTGGCAGGTGATTATACTTTGCAAACAGTCCACCACGTCCTGTATCCTTTGTGGGCCACTAGATATCATGCATCAACATGCTCTATAACAGGTGTAGACAAAAGCGTGTTGCTCTAGTGTTGTGCTAAATAAGAAAAGATAAGCACCACCGAGAGGTCCCCGTGTTGAAATGTGCTGTACAGAAAAACGTGCCGTCCCTTTACAACGTTCACTTCACGTATGATAATGGTAGAATAATACATGCAGCATACGTGTGAATCCTGAGTCTGCAAATCAAGCGCACTAAATCCAACACTGCTGATGGACTTTAACTCGTAGGCCGTAGTGAGAGACATGTGCAGACGCTTTAAAGTAATAATCACTTTCTGATGTCAGTGAGGAGAGCGAGAGAGAACCAACCTGCTCTGTGAACGCGGACTTCTGGGTTGAAAACAGCTCGCAGACGTTTCTTTAGTCCCTCGTTGTCCTCTTTTAATCCAGAAGCTTCCTCCTCGTACTCTGCTATCGTTCTTTCAAACAGCCCAAATGTCTCTTCGGCGTCCTCGGTGATTCGCTGCTTCAGTAAACATCTCAGCATTTGGACGTTGGACATCTTGACTGAATCTCAGACACGTGTCCTCCAGATAAACACCGTTGGTTCTCCGTTAAACTCGGACTAGCACCGTGCCGCTAACTTCCAGCTAGCGTGCTAAGCTAACCTCTATAGCTTGATGATGAGTCAGAGGAACAAGATCCAGAACAAAAGGTGAGCAGCTGAAAGTCCATCAGAGGTTCATCCGGACGTGCAGAGACTCTGGTGGATCCGGATCAGGACTGATGGAGACAACTGATACTTGATCAACACGACGGAGACACGCTGCTGATGCTGCGGCCGATCGGTCTGAGACCAACATCCGGGTTCTCTGTGGCTTACAGGGAAACCTTCAAAATAAAAGTTTATAGAATTCGCTATTTCCGTCTTTTATTACTTTCCATCTTTTCTAAACGTAACAAATGTGGATAAGGAGGCTCACTAGACAACTCAAGATATTGTTTTCTAACTTCCCCTTCCCCTCTTAAAGTGAACTGTACCAAAAGTGGCAAAACCGATTGTCCAAATATCCAAACTACAACAATATGACAACAATGAAGTGCCGGAAAACACTTAATGTCTCCTGGGAAAAAATTAACCGTGAAATACGGCGAAATCCTTTGTATCCAGAGATGCCTTTCACGTTGATATCGACCACCTACATTTATGACGCATTTATTCATTTTACGAATATGATCCAAGATATGATCAAAAAATTACTTCAAGCGTGATTTCTTATGACACAAAAGCTGTAAACCCCCTCAGATTGTTCCAGAGATATTAAGTACATTATCTTCTTAAACCTACAAACAGGAAACAGATGCAAAATAGACCAAAAATTTGGCAAGATGTGCAAGAATCCTAAAAGTATATGTGTTAGTGCCATTTTCCATGTTGTAATTTAGATTTAGATCGATATTATTTTGATTCATGTTTATTGACGATTTATTATATCATAAGTATAATTACACTGTGATTACATAATTGTACTCATAATTTGCATGTTAGTTAATACAGGTTTAGTGTACATGCTTGGCGTCATACATAGAAGTGACGCGAGTGAGCGCACTGACTTATGACGTAAGGCACCTGTGCTTTGACGAGGCGAGAAAACGCGGTGTAATTGTCCTCTGTCAGATCTGTCAGTAAAGCGAACGGAGCGAACACACTGTTTTCTACCGTTGTTCAACACATTAAACACGCGTAGACTCGTTCTTTCCGTTTTGGGGTGGTTAAATGAATGAAGACCTGAAGAAGCAACTGCCGAAAGTAAAAAGGGAACTTTAGCCACTACAATATGTATTTGGATTATAAAGCCAATAATCTCAGGAAAACATCATTCATATCTGTCAGTGTCTGACATCATCTGGATTTAGAGCCAGATCCATGGAGCGAGCTGCTGGAGAACGTTACCAAGAGCAGCGTGTCGTCCACATTCAACGAGGCATTTTCCTGTTACAAAATAAAGCTGCCGAAAACCAGCTTCCGGTTAGCGCCCCTCAACCCGCCGCCAGGTGTCGCTCTCCGTGAAGGAACGCACCGAGGGGTGCGAGCGAGGGGCGTGACGTCACGTGGGCACGCAGGTACGCGCGGCGTGCTGGCTCGCGGGAACGGGCGCAGACGGCGAGCAGGGTGTCGACAGGTGACCGGCTGAAGAAGACGGGCCTCTTTGCACCGCTGCCCGCGCTCGGACCCCGGCCCCTCTCCGTCTCTCCCCTCTCTCCCCCCCCACGGCGCGGCCGCTCCGCCGGCCCTCCTCCCCGGACTCCTCCGCGCTGTGCGCCCCGGCAGAAGGGGACATGTCGGAGGGCATTCCCAACGAGCTGCTCGGTGAGTTAACGCGCTTGTTCCGGCGGGTTTCCACTGTGACAAAGTAGTTTACGCTGTTTCATAAACTGAACGTAAAAGAACCCGAAGCGTCACGTGGGGGCCAAGAGGACAGTTACTGACTTCGGTGTGAAGGATTTCAGCTGTGATGCAAACGCATCGTCGGTTAGAACCTTGAATTATTCCTTCCGACTTGTTGAAGTTGAGTTAACCGAGTAGGAGAAGCCGCGCGTGGGGGCGAGGCGGGCTTCAGATGCGCTTCAGTGTTTTCGTGGCCTGAGGGCCACCGGGGAGTTTCTCCTCTCCGACTTCCTTATCTGCCGGGCGGGGCGGGCGGGGGGGGGACGGGGGCTTGGCCGGGGTGGGTCCTGGGACATTCCTTTGCTTTGTGAGATCTTATCGGCTCAGAGTGTCAAAAGAAACCACTGCTTTGGGGGGGCAGTGTGTACAAATAAGGAGTGAAGGGCTTTTCATTTTGTGTTCAACCTGTTAAACTGGACCCCCACCACCACCACCTTACTACACCTTTTTAATGTCAGTTTATTTGTTGTGCTTTATGTAATCCTGCGAACTTCCAGACTAAAGGATTAAACTTTGTATCTTTAAAAAGACCAAATGCAGAAGTGTGATGTCAGAACGCAACAAAGGAGATCATCAAATATGTGTTTGTGTGCCCGCAAACAAAGTGTTGAAACGACGACAGGAGTGTACATTAATTAGAAATGTTCTCAAGCCGACCTCTCGTCGCGCGTCATGAGCTCAAACAATTATTATGAGACTAAAACAAACCGTCGTCTTCACACGACCGTCGTTGGACATCAGACCTGGGCGCCGAGCAGCGATCCCATGCCCGCCGTCACGATGATGATGATGATGATGGTGGTGAAGATGATGATGAATGGAGCTTTTTGTCTGTCGGTTCAGACCGACCTGCCGCTGCTCATCAGCTCTCTCAGAGCTGGAGGAGGACGTGATTTATTCCTCAGTAGACGTTGTAAACACGAGTTTGTGGTCTCAGTTTCCAGTCTTCTTCCACACGGCGTGACGTTCGTTTAGTGAAGGGAGGATTTCATGTCGTGGTGCTGATTGTTTTCACTTTGTCTCTTTATGGAGAAAAGGAAGAACATCAAAGTCTTATTTCTGCACTTTGGAACATTTGGTATCACGTCAAACACTTATTTTACGAGACAAGTGTTAAACTCCAGCTGAACCCGGTTTGTCCGAAACGTGACTCTCGTCACCCCCCTCAACGTTTCCCCCCCCATTTAACCTCCTTTTTATGGTACTTCACACCCTCCTCCTCCTCCATCCGTCCCTGGATTTTCCCACCGCTGCTGAAGTGGTGAGAAAACCTCGTTGGCAATAATCCGCCCCAATGTGTTGTGAAATGCAGACAGACGGAGACGAAACGTCTCACACCACATCCAGACTGTACACACATCAGAGACCAAATCAACATCCAGACTGTAAACACATCAGAGACCAAATCAACATCCAGACTGTACACACATCAGAGACCAAATCAACATCCAGACTGCACACACATCAGAGACCAAATCAACATCCAGACTGCACACACATCAGAGACCAAATCAACATCCAGACTGCACACACATCAGAGACCAAATCAACATCCAGACTGCACACACATCAGAGACCAAATCAACATCCAGACTGTAAACACATCAGAGACCAAATCAACATCCAGACTGTAAACACATCAGAGACCAAATCAACATCCAGACTGTAAACACATCAGAGACCAAATCAACATCCAGACTGTACACACATCAGAGACCAAATCAACATCCAGACTGTAAACACATCAGAGTCTGTTTCAGCTCGTGAGGCTCAATTAAAGCAGAAAGTCGATGCACTTTACAGCAGTAACGGAGGAGAAGATTTATGGTTAAACGTGTGCTGTATTTGTTTAAATCTCAATGTTCCTCTTTTCTTTTGGGTACGACGACACGCACACGATGAATAATCTGAATGTTTTAACGTCCCAGCAGATGTTTGGATGTTTTTTTCCCGTTTTTCCGGTTTGTTTGTGGGAGTCACGTCGTGTCGTTGCGCGTTGCAGAGAGCGTGCGGGACGCGGCGGGCCGCGGGGTGAAGCTGACCCTGGGGCGCAGAGTCCAGCTGGAGGTCAAAGGTGACAAGCTGGAGAGCCGAGTGCTGGTAAGTGACCGCCGTTGGCTGTGAGCGATGGGAACGTAGTGGTGTGAGATTGGATTGAAGACGATAAGAGGAACTTGGATGATGAGTTTAGTGCTTAAGGGGAAGCGACGTCCTGTGTCGATGGGAAATATGAACCAGGAAGTGAAGGTTTAAGACACTGAAAGAACACAATATACTTATTATGTATGAATAATGATCATCTAGAGAGTTCCACTATACTTGCCTTATTTCACCTTAATTTAAGGAAACGTATGTACTGAAATCAACAGTATCGTGGCTTTAAACAAATGTAAAAGATGACTCTGAATCCGCTCAGTTTATCCCCGTTGGAGGGAGTGGAGGTCGGGGGGGCAAAGCGTCTTAAACGTCATAATTTCCCTTCAAGAACATGGATTATTTTAAGTGTGTGTGTGTGTGTGTGTGTGTGTGTGTGTGTCCCATATTTGTTCACGTCTGCTCTCGTTTCATAACGCTGCAGAATGAGACGACTCCTGTCGGGCACTTGACTGAAGCAACGCTCAGTCGGGGGGGCGGCACACACACAGACACACACACACACACACACACACACACACACACAGACACACACTGCATTCCACAGCTCTACGCCAGCAGATCAAAAACCCCTTTGCATCATTTCTTAGAATGATGATAAGCACATTAAGGCGTTGGATTGTTTCCAGGTTCTAGACTCATAAAGCAGAGAATCTATCTGATATGATCCATATTTCATCATTTAATAGTTGATGTTGATTAATAACTTGCACACCCGCAGCTTTAGTCTTTCAAATGATTAAAAACGTCCATAATGTCCATGAAGTATACGAACGATACGAGTCCGTCTAAAGACAATCAGTTTAGTTTGATTCTCGCAGTGCATCTTGGTCCCATCTGACTCGCACGGACCGACCTGCCCTCACATCTGTAAAACACCTGGACGCCTCCAGCTCTCATGAGGCAGTCGGAGAGGAGCCGGGCTCTGGCTTCCTGTGATTTACCACGCCGGGCTCCGCCTCCTTGTTCCTGCTCGCTTCGCCTCTCTCTTCAGATCCGTGACCTCCAGCACGCTCCTCATTGGCCAGCCGGTTACAACGTGACCTCCGCGTCGGACACGGGCGCCGTGTGAGGCCGCTGTGGTCGTAGTGATGGAGGTGGACGTGTGATTCGTGTGCGTCTCTGTTCTCAGGCGCTGGCGACGCATCGGGCCTACCTGCTGACCGCCCGGGTCCCCGCTAAGGTCAGTCTTCTCCTCCCCGTCCAGTTTGTGCTCTAGTTTCTCTGCTCCTGAATGCGTGTGATTCTTCTGCTGCTCACTAAAGGTCCTTAACTAAACTAAGAGGTAAATGCAAAATGATTCTGCTTTCATTCTTTTAAATGAACCCGAAGTGTCAATGGCAAGCAGATGAAAGCAGCTCCCAGAGGATGAATCCTGCTGGTGGAACCTCCTCCCGCTTCGTTCTCTCCTCTCCTCACGTTGCACGTTCTGTTGGTCTGGATGTGACCCTGAATGCTGCTGCAGAGGACAGAGGACGCTTTGTTCCTCGGGCTGACTGTCCCGTCCTGGGGGGGGGAGTTAACAGCTGACAGGGAAAGGAGGGGGGACGGGACGGGGGGCTCGCTCGCTCTCTGTCTCCTTGCCCCTTGTCCTCTTCTTTTCGCTCATTCTGGTTCTCTTTGTCCTTTTATACGTCCCCTGTCTTCCATGTCCCCCCCCCCCCCTGTAATAAGTGAGTTATTTTGACTTTGATGCTTGTTGTTCCTGAGCGTCTGATGCGTTTGAGGAGAAGAGGCTCCATGAAGGGAGAGTCCTCGTCTGAAGCTCTCCTCCTCCTCAGGTCTGAAGCTCTCCTCTCCACCGCAGGAACAAGTTGCAGCGTGTTAGCATGCTACATGTAGCCACAGGGGAGTCACTAACTGGAGGGGTTTCATGAGATCTGAGCACCTCCAGGAGCTAATCCTAAATATGTGAGCATGTAGTGACTTCTAGGTTTGCTTCCCTCCTGCTGCTCCGTTAAATGTAAAGATGAATGGATGCAGCGCAGCACCTCGAGTCCCACTGAGGCCTCCTGGGAAAGTCCTCCAGTTCCCACGAAGACGCGGTTTATTTTTACTTCACTGCGGTGGAGGAACTTCTCCTTTTGGGACACGCAAGTTTCCATCTGTGGAAGCAGGAACGCGCTCGTCTTCCTGTGTGACGCCTCCGTGAACTCTGACCTCCTCTCTTATTTCAGGTGGAACATTCCTTCAGCTACCTGGAAATCCAGGGAATCAGCAGCAACAAGCCCACTCAGGTACACGCACACGCACACACACACACACACACACACACACACACACACACACACACACACACACACACACACACACACTCACCAAGCCCACTGACGTCTTTAAACACTGATGTTTCAGGAACAAAACTGAAGATCTAGTGTCTGAATTCTTTGTTCGCGTGTGTGTGTGTGTGCGTGTGCGCGTGCGTGTGTGTGCGTGTGCGCGTGCGTGTGCGTGCGTGCGTGTGCGCGTGCAGCTGGTGCTGGAGAGCGAGCGCGGCCCCTGGAGCCTCCGGCTGGGCTCGGTGGACGAGGTGGACGAGGTGATCGCTCACATCGGCAGCAGCCTGCAGCGGATCTGCCCGGCCTGCTCACCTGTGTAGGTGACCAGTACCGGGGATCATCATCATCATCATCATCATCGTCCCCTTTATTTAATAAGCAGCCTTCATACAGGAGCAAAGCGCTTTACAACAGAGGAGAGAAAGAAGAGAAATAAATACATAAACAAAGGTCGTAAAAATCTGAACATAAAAGAGCAGTTAGTTAAGGGCGATGCTGGATAATTACCTTTAAATAAATGTGGCCCCGGTTTACGGCGTTGCTTTTCACAGCAGTGATGAACGTAACAATCTGTAACAAACGGTCTAAAACTATTTCACCATATCGGGAATTAATCGTTGATTTTATTTAGCAGAAATGCTAAATACGATTTGTTCCCTGAGATGTTCCTGCGATGTTTGTCAGATCTTTAACTCTTGATAGCCGGTCTCCAGTTGTCTGACATGGACTAATCGATGAATCGGGGCCATAATCT